CCTTCCTCTTTCTAGCCGCCCCTCCACATTACCAAACACGTTGTCCTCCCTCCAGGGACTGGTCTCTCCTGACAGCATGTTCCAAGTCCGTGAGACAGTCTCGGCACCCTTGCCTTGAAGGCGCACTCCGGCGCCCCAGAGACCGCTCATCTGCTCTTCTCAGTACGCTCCCCCAGCCCCGCAACTCCAATGCACCGGTTCTCCTTCAGTCTTCCTTGTTTGATTGATGTCCAACGTTAGCAGGTACACGAGGCAGTTGATAAAAACATTGGTCAGGGGGTCAGGGCACCATAGTTCCCAAAGTAATGTCCACCCTGCTCACCTCCCTCACTCGCTCTGTGCAGCAACGGAGCGTGTAACAAGCCACGCAGGGCCACAGAGCTGACTGACGGCACGTCTGCTGGTTCCCTTCCCACTCGCGTCTAAGCAGCCGCCGGCCTGGTTTACATGTCTAACTTCCAGTTTTGCATATTTCCTTTCTAGAATTCCTGTTCGTCTCTTTTCTGTTGTTTCTGTTTTGAGACCAAGGCCACAGGCTTGCCTTTTAAACCCTCTGACTAGCCAGGACAGTCATCATAAAGTCTGCTCCTAAACACAGCATGGTCTGCTTGCCCTGTGGGTCTTTTATGACCTCTTGATTTCAATAGCACGGTCTTCTTCCTCTGGACACCTGGTTACTTCTCATCGAGGGCCAGATGTTACAGATGAAAAGTTCTAGGAAGAACATGTGGACAATTTGTCTCTGGCAAATGACCGCCAGCTCTCAGCTTCAGACCCTCTGAATTCAGGTTTTGAAAGTTCTGCAGTCCAGCTTCCGCCCCTGCAAAAGTCAGCCTAGTTCCCATTTGACCCACTCCTAACATGATCCAAACTGTGGCCAAGCACTCACCTACCTGCCTGAAGGGCCAGGGCTCCCACGTGTGTCCCGCAAGCCCCTGAGGTTGTCAGCAGCTTCCTGCTGGAATCCACAGGCCCAAGTGGCCCCAAGGCCTGGGCTGACGCCTTGAGTCTCTCCCTCCCTCCTGATTGTGGCCCTGCAATTCCTTGCTCCCTTGTTAACTCTCGGCATTCAAGCATATTTTGGGAAAATGCTCCGGCCCTCTGTCCTGCCCGCTCCCAGCAGGAGGACTGTCCGATTCACCCAGCCTGCTGTCGCCAGGATGGCTGTGTTGGGTGACCGAGCAGGGAGCCCACAGAGCTGGCTGCTTCCCTGCATGGACAGCCCTGCACAGAGACAGCAGGGCCCAGCCAGTGCTCGCTGAATGCACGCCTCCAAGCTGCCTGCTGGCGTGTTTCTCTATTGCCCCACCACTCAACAAGCATGTATAGGCGCCACTGGGTGTCGCCCTCTGCTCCTGCGGAGGTTCTGCCTGCAGGGGCTCAGTGCAGCTGTTGGCAGGAGGGGTGGGGCAGCGGGGATGCAGAGGGGGTGGGCTTGGAAGAAAGCAGCGGCAGGCTGGGAGGGGACACTGTGAACGGAGCTGATGGGGACACAGGAAGCCTGAGTGGCCAGGCCAGGCCATTGGGGGGTCTGAGGTGCAATGTGATGTGAGGCAGTGAGCTGAGCAATGTGTGTGTGTGTGTGTGTGGCTATGTGTGCGTATGAGTGTATGTGTATGAATGAAGGTGTGTGTGTGTCTGTGAGTACACTGTGTGTGTGTGTAAGTGAGCGAGAATGGGTCTACATGAGTGTGAGTGTGTGTGAGAATGGGTGTGACTGTGCGTGTGAGTATAGGCATGGGTGTGTTATGTGCATGCATATGAGTACGTTGTTTGTGTACTAGTGGGTGTGAGGGTGCGTGAGCGTGTGTGAATATGTGGAAGTGTGTGCACCTGAGTGTGGGTCTGTGTGAAAGGGTATACTTTATGAGTGTGTGTGAATGAGTGGTTCTAAGTGTGTGTGTACATGAGACTGTATGTGTGTGGGCACCCACGTGGTGAGTCCCTCCAGAAGGTACTGCAGAGGGCCTGTGCATCTGTGGCACGCACTCCCAGGGGGCAGGAGCCCTTACACCCCTTGGAGGGGTGCAGACACCCCCCTTCTCTCCAGCCCTAAGAGCACAGCTGTGGAGAGGACCCGGGACCCACACTGCCCATCCCACAGGGGACTCGGAGCTGGCGGTGATGCTGACCACCAAGGCGCCCAAAGCGACAGTGGGCGGCCTGAGCCCCTCCACGAGGTACCTGCTGTGCGTCTTCACGCTCGCCCACTCGGGGAGGGCACTGCTGGCCAGGAGGGAGTTCATGAGTAAGTCCAGCACCCCTAGGCCCACTCTAGCCCTGCGGCCCCCGAAGCTGTGGGCTGGGGGGCGAGTCATGGGTCTGCCTCCAGGGCTACCAGGAGGCCGGGGGTGGCCCTCGCAGGGAGGGGCAGGAGAGCCCACCTGATGCCCTCACCCTCACAGCCGCTCTCCATCCCCGCAGTGGAGGACTTGAAGAGCCACTCTGTGGGCAGGAGCAGCTGGAGGCCAGGGGAGGCCCTGGAGCCCACTCCCCACCCAGTGGAGAACCCAGACCCCGGGCCAAGCCTCCATCCTCCCATCCCTGGTGGGTCATGTAGCCGAGGCAGGAGGTCAGCCGCGCAGGAAGTTCTTCCTCATGTCTGGCCACACTCTCTCTAGCTTTACTTAAGTTTCTTATCACCCCTGGATTCACCAGGCCACCAGGGTGGGTGGCTGGCCAGGGAAGGTACCCCAGGACCCACCCCTGGGACCCCTGCCTGAGCTGAGAGGTGAGAGCTGACACAGTGTGCCTGCCCCAGGAGTGCCCCGGCGGGAGCAGCCCACACAGGTGGTGGGGACTGCATGGCCTGCTCCAGGCCCAGGGACACAGCGCCACAGCCCCGGCTCCAGGGCAGAGAGGGAGCAGTCTGGTAAGGGGGGCGGAGTCCCGCTGGGCCAGGGGTGGGGGAGGGTAGTGTGGTGGTGGTGTGTGTCCAGGTCTGCTCCCACTTCCTGGCTGTGAGGCCTCAGACGGCTTTCCCCGGCCTTCGTTTCCCACCTGGCAGAGGGCTAAGGACACAGCCAGGCTCACTGCCACTGAGCAGATGCCAACTCAGCGACCCTGCAGGGCGGGTGGACCTGCCCTGTGGGCTTGGAGACTGCCACTCTGACGGAGTAGAAAGCCTCCCTCTCAAGCAGCTGGTGGCTTCGAACTGCTGACCATGCGGTTGCCAGCCCAGCTCATAGCCCATGATGCCCCCAGGGAGGGTGCTGAAGGCAGAGAGGTCTTCGGGGGGTGGGGGGGTTAGGGTGGGAGCCTGTGTGGCCGTGGTCCTCCAGCACGTGGCTCCCACAGGGGCACCCTTCCGCTGCACGCCCCCCGTGCCCACCGACATGGTCTTGCTGGTGGATGGGTCCTGGAGCATCGGCCACAGCAACTTCCAGCTCGTCAAAGACTTCTTGGCCAGCATCGTGTCCCCCTTCGATATCAGCCCCCAAAAGGTCCAAGTAGGTGGGTGTTGCCCCCCCTGCCCACCCACCCTGGGAGCAGGCTGCTCCCTCTGGGTCCCCAACATGTGGCCAGACCACGTGGGACCCGCTGGCCACTCACTGCCCAAGGGAACAGGGCTGGCCCTGGGCTGGCCCACCCACGGCCCGTGCTGACCGGGCAGCCAGGGGACTCCTGACTTCCGGCTGGGGGGTTGGGGAGAACCCTGCAGATGGCCCTGTCGCCTGGCAGCCCAGCGAGCCCTCCCCCTCCAGGCCTGACTCAGTACAGCGGGGACCCCCAGACTGAGTGGGACCTCAACTCCTTCAGCACCCAGGAGGAGGTGCTGCACGCCATAGCCCACCTGCACTACAGGGGGGGCAATACCTTCACAGGTATGGGACCTTCCCCTCTCCCCACCCAAGCCAGAGCAGCCCCACCCAGGTCTGTGCTGAAGTCCCCGTCCCCATCCTGAGCACCTGGGTCTGTGCAGCCTGAGGCCATGGTCACCCCATCTCTGCCACTCTAGCTGGTGCCCCCAGCCATGCTAGCACCCCCCTCTGCCCTGCCAGTGCCCCCTCAGAGCGTGGCCCTGGCCATCCTTGCATGCCACCACTAGGGATGTCCAGCAGAGAGAACCCCCATTGCCTGGGTGCCCATCTCTTTCATCCATGCACTGAGGGCTGGCCCTGGGCATTCCAGGACCTTGAGCTGCTGTGGGCAAGCTGTGTGGGGGCTGCTGCCAGGGAGGGGTGCAGGGGAGGAGGGGACTCTTTCCACATGCCTTGGCCCAGAGGGCAGCCATTTTGCACACAGTGGACAGAGGGCCCGGGCGGCCCTGTGACTCCGTCCCGTGCCCTGAAGGCCTGGCGCTGACCCATGTTCTGGAGCAGAACCTACAGCCCTCGGCCGGGCTCCGCGTGGACGCAGCGAAAGTTGTGGTCCTGGTGACCGATGGCAAGTCCCAAGATGATGCCCGCGCAGCCGCCCACGTCCTCAGGGATCTGGGTGCAGATGTCTTTGCAGTGGGTGAGCTCCGTGTAGGGGCTGGGGGCCCGCATGGAAGTCCTTACAGGCTTGGTGGGCACGAGGCCGTTGGCCAGAGGCAGTGGTCGCAGGGTGCTGACCCTCGTGCTCCCCGTTCCACCAGGTGTGAAGAACGCCGATGAAGCTGAGCTGAGACTCCTGGCCTCACAGCCACTGGACATCACGGTCCACAATGTGCTGGACTTCCCCCAGCTCCGAACGCTGGCTGGCCTGCTGGGCCGCCTCATCTGCCAGCGTGTCCAGGGCAGGGGCCTGCCGCCGGAGGGGCCAGGTGAGGGCAGGGGGTGGCTGCAGCCTGGTCTCCTTCATTCCAGGGGACAGTTGGTCAGCAGAGGACGCTGGGACATGAGACTCTCTGGCCCCTCTCGGGGTGGCCACCAGGGGGAGCAGGAGGGGCAGCAAATGCAGCCAGCCTACCTCTCACCACCCACTACCTACCACCACCCACAGCCACCTCTCCCCCCCTCCCCCAGTCACACCTGCTCTCTCTGCTCCGGACCTGGACCCGCTGCCTGCCCCCGCTGGCCTGACCCTGACCCAGGTGACTTCTGCCAGTGTCCGCCTGTCTTGGACTCCAGCCCCACGCCCACCCCTCAAGTATCTGATCGTGTGGCGTCCTTCCAAGGGCGGTGCTCCCAGAGAGGTGAGAGGTGGGGGACACCTTCCTCCCCCTGCGCCCCCTCCGAGTCGCCCATGAGGACTCTGTGCTGCTTTGGCTCTGGTGGGAGGGCGGACAGATGGAGAGGATGGATGCTGATTGGAGGAGGGCGCTGACTGCAGGGTGGGGATTGGTGGGTGAGGGATGATTCATGGGTGGGTAGGGATTGTCAGGTGCTTGGCAACAGAGTCTAGTGGGTGTTTGCTCCACTTGGTTGAGTGACGTGAGGACCCCCACTCCCAGGTTTGCATCTCTTTTCCCTGAACTTCTCTGCTTGATACCCAACCCCCATAGCCTCCCTCCCTGCACGCAGCCCCCTGTTGGTCCTCCGGCCCTGCACCCAGGTTCTCTGTGTCCCTCCCATCCCAGGTGGTGGTGGAGGCCCCTACCTCATCCGTGGAGCTCCGGAACCTGTCCTCCAGCACCAACTACTTGGTCTCTGTGCTCCCCGTGTACGCCGGAGGGGTTGGCGAGGGTCTCCGGGGCCTTGCAACCACATGTAGGCAGGGGGAAGGGGGAGAGGGGATAGGGCTCTGGGGAGGAGGGCTCCCCCGACTCTGGGCCCCCTTGGAGCCCTCACCAGTGGGGCGGCATCCTGGCTGTCCCCACTCGCTGTATAATCAAGGCTGACTCACTGGGCCACTCTGACCCTCAGTCTCTTCTTGCACACATGGGAGATGTGATTGTCGCTTTCCCACAAGCACCACTGGTCTCTCATCCAACGCACACCCCTCCTCCTTGACACCAAGGCCCTGCCTTTGCACTAGCCTTCACGAGTGACCCCTGGGGGCCAGAGCCCCACTTCCTGCAGTGCCCTTCTCAGGCTCTGTCCACCGACCTACAGGGCCAGCCCCCTCCATGTCCCAGCCAGCCAGATAATTGTCCTCTGCTGTGGATATGTCCGAGTCCACTCCAGCTGCTTCCTGGCCAGGGGCATCCCTGGCTGCCCCTGAGCTCTGCCTGCCGTGAAGCCTAGCAGAGGGCTTGGGGTGGGGGAGGTGGGTTTCCCTTTGGGCCTGTTCAATTCTGTCACCTGATCTCCGGGCTGCGGCCCACCCTCTGCCCCCAGTGCCTCTGCTCCCCCCACACGCACTGGCCCTGGCCACAGTGACACCCCACACCATCCACCTCACCTGGCAGCCTGTGCCTGGGGTCACCCAGTACCTGGTGAGGTGTTTGCCCACCCCACCCAGGGGCGAGGAGGAGGGGAGAGAGGTAAGGTGGGGCAGGGTAGGCGGGCAGGTGGTGGTGGGAGCGACCGCAGGAACTGACCTGTGTCCTGGCTGCCCAGGTGAGGGTAGAGCGGCCTGAGGCACTACTGGACGGCCTGGAGCCTGGTCGGGACTACGCCATCTCCGTGCAGAGCCTGCAAGGGCCAGAGGCCAGCGAGGCCCAAGGCATACAGGCCAGCACCTGTGAGTGCCTGTGCTGCCCTGCCCTACAGACGTCCTCCCGGGGAGCCCCAGTGGCTGAATGGTGGTGTGCCCCACAGCAGCGCTGGCCCTCCCCCGACATCTGGACTTTGAGAATGTGACCCACGACTCGGCTCGTGTGCTCTGGGGAGACCTCCACAGGCCAGCCCGCCTCTGCCGGGTCACCTACCGCTCCAGGGAGGGTGGCTCCCCCGGGCAGGTGAAGGCAGGGGTGCCTGGGTGGGGGGTGTCCTTTGGGTGGACTTCAGACCCGGTCAGACCTCTTGGCCAGAATGAAGTTGGGCATTGGGGGGTGGGGGAGCAGGTGGGCACCAGGGAGCGCGGTTGAGGGGGAGACCCTGCCCCACGCACATTTGGGCGGGGCCAGCACCACTACTACCCTTCGGCCTCTGTTCTCCAGTTCTGGGGGAGGAAATTGGGGTGCCGTCCGAGGCTGGGTGCCCGCTGGCAGGGGTTGGGCCTGGGTCTGTGCATGACGGGGGATGCCCCTTAGGGTGGGAGGGCCAATGAAGCTCCCGGGCCCCCCCTCCAGGTGGAGGCTCCGGGGAACGCGTCCTCCATCATGCTGGGCCCACTCTCGTCTTCCACCACCTACACCGTCCGCGTCACCTGTGTCCACCCGGGGGGCGGCTTTTCCACGCTGAGCGGCCGCGTGACCACTCGTGAGAGGGAAAGGGCGGGCCGGGGCGGGGCTGGGGGCAGGGCCTTGGCGTGGGGGCGGGGCTGGGTAAGCAGCCTGTCCAGATGGCTGTCAGAACCTGCAGTGGTGGAGCCAGGGAACCTCCCCTGGGGTCCGGGGTTGATCTCCCGGGTGTCATTACTGCTCCCAAGCCCTGGCTGGCCTCCCAGGGCCCCGAGGTCACTGCACAGCCAATGCAATGTCCCTATGACCGATTCTGCCTCAGGGTCAGACCCCAACCACGTGACACCAGCCACGGCCCAGGGCCTCTGAGCTCCAGCCCTGTGTGGCTCTCACCCACCTGAAGGCCACAGAGTGCTGGGCGGGTGCTGGGTTCCCACCCCGTGCCTCAGTTTCCCCACAGATAAACCGAGTACTGATATCTCTGAGGACACAGGGCCCCCGAGAAGTAAGATCAGAGCAGGCAGGGAGCTGGGACCTGTGGGTGTAGACAGGGACCAAATGACTGCCCCTGGGCACACTGCAGGCATCAGACGTCTGCCAGGACAGCGTGGAGGGTCCTCTCGTGGGGTAGGAACTTCATGCCCGCTGTTGGTCATGTGGTCACCGGGAGCCCTGGGCTTGCCTGGTCCTTAGGGACCCTCGTGTCAGGGCCGTGACAGCAGTGGGCACTCCGCATTACCTGCACTTGCACACCACGGCCACACCAGGACCTGGGCCCTCCAGGGCCCCCTAGGATCCCAGATCCCTTCAGGACCCTAGAAGCCCCCAGCACCGCAGTTCCTGTGTCTTCTTCTCATCTCCCAGGGAGAGTCCCCAGCCCGAGCCAACTGGTGGTGACAGAGCTGCCCGGGGACAAGGTTCAGCTGGAATGGGCAGCAGCGTCTGGCGTGCTGGTTCATCAGATCAAGTGGACGCCCCTGGGTGATGGGCAGGCCCACGAGGTGAGGGATGGGCAGAGGATGGGTCCCTTTGGAGAGGGGCCCTGACACCCGCCCTTCTGAACTCCTGGTACAGGCCTGCGATGCCAGGAAGCTGGCCGTGAGCACTCGCTGTCCTGCCTTCAGGTCTCGGTGCCTGGGACCCGCTGCTCAGCTGTCCTGCCTGGTCTGGGGAGGGTCGTGGAGTATGACATTACCATCCTGGCCTACTACCGCGATGGCGCCCGCAGTGACCCAGTGTCCTTGCGCTACACCCCCCGTAGGTGACCCCCAGACTGCTTACCTGCAGGTCCTGGAACCCCCAGCCCCCCACCTCCTGGCTTCTCCAAGCCCAGACAGGTGATGACCCTGGGGTGGGGGGTGGGAGGTGTGGGTTCAAATCACTCAATGTTTGCAACACAGTCCACTAAGAGAGGGCATCCTCATCCTGTGGACTTTTGGGGTGTGCAGGGTCGGGCTGGGTAGGGAGCAGGCTGAGGGAGGGGCCAGGGCCAGGGCCTTAGGTGGCCAGATGCACCTGCCTGAGCTTGGGGACCCCTGCCACGTGGTATCCATGCAGTGCGCCGGAGCCCCCCGACCAACCTGGCCCTGGCCTCAGAGACGCCCAGCAGCTTGCAAGTCAGCTGGACGCCCCCCCATGGCCACGTCCTCCACTACCGGCTCACCTACACACCAGCCTCTGGCTCAGGACCTGAGAAGTCGGTGGGTCTCTCAGGTCCTGGGGCTCCTTCGGGGGACACAGCCCTCCTTGGGCCCTGCCTGGGAGGTTTCAGGGTCCAGTAACCTATGCCCTCTGGGGTCAGCTCTCTGTCCCAGGACTCAGGAGCCAAGTGACACTCTCAGACCTCCTGGCAGCCACCAAGTACAGAGTCCTGCTGTGGGCCGTCTACACGGCAGGAGAGAGCATGGCTGCATTGGCCACCGGCAGCACAGGTGGGTGGGCCGCAGCCCAGACAGCCCTCGCCCCATGGGGCCTCCCTTCTGCTCCTCGGTGGATCGGACCTCGCCAGAGGGAAGGCTGTTGTCTGGCCGCACTCTGGGCCTTGGGAGGGAAGGGAAGGTGGCCACCCTGAAGCCAGGGCAGCGGGAGGGGGACCCCGGGTCCTGGGGGGATGCTCAGCTGCCTCTGGCAGGTGGGACATCCTCCAGGGAACCAGGGTGGGACATCCCCCCACTGGCATCCTTGACCCTGGGTCTCTGCCCCCAGCGACCTGCCCAGCACTGCACCCGGATGGCTCCCTCTCAGGTTGGTTTGCCAGGGATCCTCCGGGACCCACCCTCCAGCCCTGCAGGGCAGAGGGATAGATACCTGGGCGTGGGGGGTGCACCCCTCAGTTCTACTAAAGGAAACTGAGTCATACAAGGGACTCAGCCATAGCACCCCAGCCTGGGTGCACAGAGCAGAAGCCGAACTGGGGTCCTAACACCTGCAGGATCCCCCAAGGTCGCAGCTGAACAAAGCTAGGCCAACCTGGGCAGCTGCCTGCCCAAGGGACAGACTTAGCAGTGACCCTAGAGGAGGGAGGGGCCTGGTCAGCAGGGTCTGCAGAGGCTGGCAGGGGGTGGGGGTCGGGTGGGGTGGGGGTGGAGCTTGGCCCTGCCCTTCCGTGCTGACAGTCTGATGAGCGTCAAATGAGCTTCAGGTCATTCTGTGCCATACAGCCCGGGATGGGGACGGGAGGGCCTGGTGACCACTGCTGGACATGAAGTTGGGGCAGGGGTGATGGGGACAGGCTGCTGGCACAGGGTGGGTCAAAGGGACCCTTCAAGGAAACAAAGAACCCCACAAATGCCTGTCCACTGGGGGCTGGAGGTGGAGATGCAGGGTGGTTGAGGGGCACTCAGTGGGCGGGGGTAGGGGTAGCTCCAAGGGGTGCTGGTCCTCCTGAGCAGGACCTGGCCTGAGGGCAGGGCCCGGGCAGGTGGAGGGGACCCAGGGAGCATCGGGCAGCTCAAGTCTCACTCCCAACCTAGCCATCCCGACCCGGTTCTCTGCATCCTCTGTCTCTGAGGCTCTTGGTCTCCCGTCTGCTGGCTCCCTCCCTCCCTCTGACTGGCAGTCTGGCGCCCCACCCAGGCTTCGACCTCATGGCGGCCTTCGGCCTGGTGGACAGGGAGTACGCTGCCCTCCGAGGGGTGGCCATGGAGCCTTCTGCCATCGGGGGCACCCAGACGTTCACCCTCTTCAAGGGCGCCCAGCTGACACGCCGCGCCAGGTGCGGGCGGGCCGTGGGGCGGGCCAGTAGGGAGGAGGGTCCTAGGCAGGCCTTTCCCCAAGGCAGCTCTCGCCCCAGGAGAGCTCCAGCCTTACTGGCTTCGTGCACCCCAGGGTGCAAGCCTTCATGGTCTCCCCTGCTACCACAAGGCTGGCGGCTCTTGCCCCTCCCCACCCCACCCCCAGGGTGCCCAAAGGCCGCCTGGCAGTCCGCTCCTGAAAGGTCTGATGTCATGGGCCGCTCGTCAGCGCCCCCAGGCCCCCTGACTGCTCTCAGCGAGGGCTGCTGTGGACAGCACGGCGTTCCTAAGTGTCAGCGTTTTGGATTTCAGACAGGTCATCCCCAGCAGCAGGAACTTGAAGGCCTCATTGTCTGCAGCCCCCGCCCTCCCCATCTAACCCTACAGCAGCACTGAGGCTTGGGACATCCTCCCAGGGTCTGCTGCCCCACCCCACCCCAAGGTACAGCAGCTCAGCTGGTACCTCCGCGACACCTGGGACCTCTCCTCTTTCAGGATGGCCTGTACCCTCTCCGCTTTGTGGCCTTTGCTACAGCCACTGTCAGGCTGGTAACTCAGGACAGGTGTGGCCCCAGCACAGGTGTGATCCCAGCCTGTGCCCAGGCTGTAAGGTCAGCCTCTTCAGAACGGCAGGATGTGACTGTCAGGTGTTGGCCTCGTGGGTTTTCTGCGAGAGTAATGAAGGCCAGGCCGGGCTGGAGGCCACCAGGCAGCCCTATTCAGTCCCTCCTCCCCTCTGGGCCTGGTGGCAGAGGGCCCCGCTGCCTGTCCACAGCATGCTGACTGTGGGTCCCAGGGCACGGCTGTCTGTGGGCCTCAGGGAGCGGCCAGGCCTGCGCTCTCAGGGACTCTCACTGAGCCCCTGAGCTGCCCCATGTTCCCACTGGGAGAGTGAGGCTGGGGGGGTAGGGTGGTGGCCTCACTCACCCTGGACGTGCCCCCCTGCCCAGCGACATCCACCGCACCGCCCTCCCCCGGGAGCACACCGTGGTCTTCCTCCTGCGCCTGCTGCCTGAGACCCCACGGGAGCCCTTCTCCCCCTGGCAGATGACCACCGAGGACCTCCAGCCCGCCGTCGGGGTCCTGCTGGACGGTGACCAGGCGCCCCAAGCCGCTGGGGGGCTGCGGGCGGGGCTCGGTCACCCTGATGTCCTGTCCACACATGGGTCCTCCCTCAGTATGCTCCCAGACCTGGCATGCCCCTTCAGGGCCGCTTTTTGCCTATCACAGAGGGCCCATCCTTCCTGGACCCCCAGCGCCTTCCGACCCTGCCCTCCCCTCTCTCCGTGCCCTCTGCCCTCTGCCCCTGCAGCTGGCCGGAAGTCCCTCACCTACTTCAACCATGACCCCAGGGCTGTCCTGCAGGGGGTCACCTTTGACCTGCCAGATGTGAAGAAGATATTCTTTGGGAGTTTCCACAAGGTCCTGTCCAGCACACTGGCCCCAGCTCAGGGGTCTGCAGCCCACCTGTGCCGGCTAGGTGGGACACACCCATCCCATCTTGGCCTGTGGTGGCTGCAGACCTTCCGTCCCCTCTGGCCTCTCATGGCTCCACCCCACATGCCCCTCTGAACTCTGGTGCTCGAGGCCCCATCCTCCCTTGGGATCCCTGGGCAGTATCTTTGGTCCCCTCCGGTGAACTGGGGCTTTCCAGGACCCTGGCCCAGGAACCCCACCTCCAGCCCTCTGTCCTGGAGGAGACACTCGTAGGCGTGGGCGACCTCAGCCCTGACTGGGCCCCATACTGCAGGTGCACGTGGCTGTGGGCCGCTCCAAGGTCCGGCTCTATGTCGACTGCCGGAAAGTCGCTGAGAGGCCACTAGGGGAGGTGGCCAGCCCGCCCACCACTGGCTTCGTCATGCTGGGGAGGCTGGCCAAGGCCAGGGGAGCCCGGAGCAGCTCAGCCGCGGTGAGCCTGGCTGGGTCCGGGGGTGGAGGGCACTGTCCGAGTCTGCGTGTCTGACCAGCCCTGCAGTTCCAGCTCCAGAAGCTGCAGATTGTCTGCAACGACTCCTGGGCCGAAGGGGACCGATGCTGCGACCTGCCAGCCCTGGTGAGGGCTGGGGGCGGGCGGACCCGGGGGCTGGCCTGGCAGCAAGAACCTGCAGAAGGGCTGAGCAGCAGTGAGAGCCCAGGGGGCAGTGAGCACACACAGGGAGCAGGGCAGGGCACCATGGTGCTTTCTAAGAACAGGCGAGCCTGGGGGTCCCGTAGGGAGGCAGCTGTATCGTCAGGTCGGCCCCTCTCTCTGGGGCCAGCAGGAGTGACAGGCAGGGACGGCTCACCCAGCCTGCCAGGGACGCAGCAACCTCTCCCATAGGAGGAGCCAGGGGGTCTGCAGGCGCTAGGCAGGACCAAGAGCGGAGAGCCTGCCCAGGGCCTTAGTGGGCAGCAGGGTGGGTTCACAAAGGATTCAGGGGCAGAGGCTCAGAGTGCCAGGTGGGCACCGGCTTTCCTGGGAGCGATGAGCTCAGGTGAGGGTCCTTTTCCCAAGTGAGTCTCCTTTCTTCCAGAGGGGTACCGAGAGCTGCCCTACCCCCACGTCGGCCTGTATCTGCTCTTCGGACACCCCTGGGCCTCCAGGACCCCAAGGACCTCCCGTGAGTCCACAGCACCACCACCCCCAGCCCTGTGAGCCATAGCCCCCAGGCGGCCTGCAGGTGGGCTGTCTCTGAACACCTCTTGGCTTCCCAGCCTCACCCTGAGCCTGGAGCCTGATGGCCCTCTCATCCCACTCAGCTGGCCTTGACCCCAGGGCACAGGTACTACCCTCAAGCCCTGGCCACCCCCTCGTGGGCCCAGGGGGGACCTTGTCAAACGTGGGCTCCCACATGCCCTAATTTGACCACTGAACTAAGGTGGTCAGTGTGTGGCTGACCCAGGCAGCCCTCCAAGGTACTTTGGTGGTACCCTGAGAGCACCCCCAGCCCTGACTCCCACCGTGTGCCTGCCAGCCCAGGACGAGAGCCTTACCCATCCCCTGCAGGTGTCTGAGCCCTGCTGGGATCCTCAGGCGGGTGGGAGTTGAACCCAGGCCTGCCCACCTTAATCTTTCGTCGGGAGAGGGAAGGAGGGAGAAACAGCCCAGGAAGCTGTCTCTCCACAGTGTGCCTGGCACGGGTGGAGGGGAGGTGGGGGGCCAACCTGCAGGAGCAGCAAGGTGGGTGGGAAGGCCCAGCCTGCAGAGGTAGCAGTGTGGGGCTGAGAAGGGGCATCTCAGTCAGAGAGGCAGGGCGCAGGGTGAGGCTGGGGGCTCTTGGGTGGGTGAGGGCCAGCCTGCTCTACTTCCACAGGGACTCCCCGGGAGGGATGGCACTCCAGGAGAGCAGGGCTTCCCAGGGCCCCAGGTAAGTACTGAGGTCTCGGGGAGCCCTGCGTGGGGCAGCCCTGGGTGGGGGCCCTGAAGGTTACTTGCAGACAGAGACTGCCTCCCACCTAGCACATGAGAGAAGGGAGAGAACAAGGTTGTGTTACCTCCCTCCACCCCCTCCCACCTCCTGGCACCCAGCAGTGCTCTGACCCTATGCCACAGATGGGAAGCCAAGGCTTGGCGCCCAGGCCCCAAGGCAGGTCCTGTCATACAGGGGATGCCACATGTGCCCTGCTCCTGCTTCAAGGACAGGAAGCAGGGTCCTGGTGATCTTGACTGAAAGCACACAGACCCCAAAGATCTGTGCCCTAAGTGTGTGCCCCAGGTGTGTGCCCCTGTGTGCTCCACGTGTGTGCCCCCAGGTGTGTGTCCTAGGTGTGTGTCCCCAGGTGTGACACACAGTGCAGAGACACCTTGTGGGCTGCCCACAAAGGTGACCCAGAGCCCCTACACCTCCCCTGAGGGGGTGGGCCCCACTCCTGAGTTTGCCCCGAGGGACCAGCCTCTCAGGCCCCCACCTGTGTTTCCAGGGTGATCCCGGACTACCTGGACAGATAGGGCCTGAAGGTCCTGGAAGCCAGCAGGAGTCTCCTGGGACCCAGAGCCGCACAGTCCAGGGCCCTGTGGTAGGTGCTGTGGCCTCTTCCCGCCCCCTCCTGCCGCCGCCCTGTCCTTGTGGCTGTGTCCATCTTCCCTGTCCCCTGCAGGGTCCACCTGGGGTCAAAGGGGAGAAAGGGGACCATGGACTGACAGGCTCACAGGTAGATAGATGCTTTGAACGGAGTCGGAGTGGGAGGCGGCCACCCCCTCAGGTGTGACCTTGTCCCTGGTCCTGCTCACCACCCTGTTTCTCTCAGGGCCCTTCTGGTCCCCAGGGTCACCCTGGGAGAGCTGGCCTCCAAGGACCAAAGGTACCAGCTCCTGATTCAAGGGGTCATTGTGTGTGGGTGGGGGAACCAGCCCCAGGAAGGCCAGCGTTCTGTGGGGAAGGAGGCTCTTGGAGACCAGGTGGGGGTGGGGGGGCGGGGCTTGCTGGGCGGGGCTAACTGGACACGCCTTTCTTTGCCCCCAGGGAATGAGAGGACTGGAGGGCACTGCTGGGCTGCCTGGGCCCCCCGGCCCCAGGGTAGGACTTTGCTCCCCACCCCTGCCTATAGCCCCCTGAGAGTCCTGGACTGTCCCCTGCCCTTGCCACTGCTGGCCTTCATGGCCACCTGTCCTAGGCTAAACCCTTCCTCGGGCCCCCTGTCCCTGCGCCCCACGTAGGAGAGTAGTGGGAACAGTTATGAGTGCACCTGCTCTGCTCCTCCTCTTGCCCACAGAGCCCAGGGGCAGGTGAGAGGGACCCTGTCAGCAGTCCTGGGCATCTCTTAGTCTCTGGGGGGGAGGGGAACCCCAGCCTCCCTCACCTCAAGAGAACTTCATCCCAACTTAGGGTCTGGGGCTCCGAAGCAGCCCAGGGGCACCGTCCTGGGGAAGAGGGGCTGGTGGGGTTAGAGCCGTGGGTGGGAAGGGAACCTGGCTGAGCTTTGGGGTGATGGGAATGGGAACCCTGGGGTGTCCAAAAGCCAGGCTAAGGGCTGACTCTGCTGCATTACAGGGGTTCCAGGGCATGGCAGGTGCCCGGGGGACTGTTGGGGAGCGAGGACCCCCAGGATCTGTGGGACCCACGGTAAGCCAAGACCCTGCTGTAGATACACCCCTTCCTGGGGGACCTAGGCAGTGATGTCTCCTGGGAGCCAGGTAGGGGTGCCCTTAGAGCTCAGCTGAGATGGGGTGCAGATGGTACTATCCTCCTGGGGGCCCCTCAGCACCAAGCTCCTTCTGCTACTGCCGCTGTGCCTGTCATGAACAGTGAGAGAGGCTGGGGACCTTAGCCCAGGGCCCCAGGTGTCCCCAACCTGGAGTGGGGATGAGATGACCAGATCCAGCCCTCACACCACCCACCTGCCCGCCAGAGCTGACCTGTCCTTCCCGACCCCCCAGGGGCTGCCAGGGCCGAAAGGGGAGCGAGGGGAGAAGGTGAGTGTGCGGCAGCGGACACTGCCTCCCGGCTGGGCCTCACACACGTCCCTCACATGCACCCACACACACGTGTGTCCCTCATACGCACGTACCACCACACAGCTGTCCCTCACACATATGTCCCCCCACATGTCCCTCACATACACACCCCGCATTCATGCTCCTCACACACGTTCCCCACACACATGTCCCTCACACACACGTCCCCACATGCATGTCACACACATGCCCCTCTCACACACAATTCCACATGTCCCTCACATGCATGTCCCCAC